GTTTAATGCAAAGGCAATGTAGTACAAAGTATAGTGTTATAAATGTACATTAATTTAAAAAATATATATATAAATATAAAAAACTTTAGAGGATTTATGATGCTGATGTTGACCATTAAACGCGTCATTACAGTCCTGTGAAAACGGTCCATATGGTCATGCAGAATATATGCTTTATAAGTACTAATAAACAGCCAATATGTTATTAATAGGCATGCTAATAAGCAGAAAATTAAGATTCATGTGCCAAAGTCGGCACCAATAGGCAATTTTACTCCTCCTGCAAAACTAGCCAAGAAGTGCTTATGCATTCCAGCAACTAGTTCCCCATTTGAAAGAGTTTTTAATGCCAGTGGGAACATAGTGTCATGCACAGAGCCTCTCTTATACAAGAAACCACTGATAGACTTATGTTCTTAGCTTGTGAAATACTTGCATAATTTTGATAGATATCAAGACTTCAAATTTTAGGTGCATCACTCAGCCTTAGTTCCGTGTAGGATTGTCATTTCATTTTTGGCATTCCCATTTGCTCAAATAGCAAAAGAAAAACTCCACGATAGTGTTTTTATGATTTTCAAAAAAAGGAAAAAAATGGTAAGAGACTGATACCGGCAGTCAGAAGAGAGAACGATGTCAAATTTACCGTCCCTCCCATAGATGCTGCATTAGAAACACCCTCGCATCAGCATTAACTAGTTTTTTTTGTGGTTTAATGCAAAGGCAATGTAGTACAAAGTATAGTGTTATAAATGTAGATTCATTTAAAAAATATATATATAAATATAAAAAACTTTAGAGGATTTATGATTTTTCAAAAAAAGGAAAAAAATGGTAAGAGACTGATACCGGCAGTCAGAAGAGAGAACGATGTCAAATTTACCGTTCCTCCCATAGATGCTGCATTAGAAAGACCCTCGCATCAGCATTAACTAGTTTTTTTGTAGTTTAATGCAAAGGCAATGTAGTACAAAGTATAGTGTTATAAATGTACATTAATTTAAAAAATATATATATAAATATAAAAAACTTTAGAGGATTTATGATGCTGATGTTGACCATTAAACGCGTCATTACAGTCCTGTGAAAACGGTCCATATGGCCATGCAGAATATATGCTTTATAAGTACTAATAAACAGCCAATATGTTATTAATAGGCATGCTAATAAGCAACTAGTTAATAGTGAGAACTGGTCTCTATACTGAAGTTTTACCATTTTATTGTAGTTTTATGAAATTGTACAAAGCTAAAGTCAAACCATTCTGTTTTTTTGCTCTAATTTAAAACAACTGTTGGCACTATATTGTATTTCTTATTCATGTACCCTTTCATTTTTTCTTATCTATTGCTTAATGAAAAAATTGGGAATCGATTAAAAAAAAATCGTCAATCAGAATCGGCTGTGAAAATTTATGAACGGTGCTGAACAGACTGCCAGTGACTCTAAAGGTGGGCGGTAACCATATTATGGTCTGAGTAAGTGAATATCACAGTAGTGATATAGATCATGATATGCCACATAAACTTCTAAGTACCCTTTTTCCCCCAAACTTTCCAAAGCTTATATCCTTGCTTTTATGTTGCAGTGATAAATGAGTCTATTCTTATCTGAACTCAGCAATCTGACATCCCAAAGTGCTGAGATGTTTTCCCAGGATGAGTCTGATGTGGAGATGGTGGTGATAGCGTCAGTGTGTTTGGATAGCGTGTGTGAACCCTTGCGGTCTGTCATGTGCGAGATAAAAGATGCACATCCTGTTGTGCTTGATGTTGGAGGAAGAAAGAATAGGAGGAAAGAAGGAGAAGATGGGAAGAGAGGGGGGAGGGGTAACTTCTGATGGGCTGAAGCACTTGTACAAAGGAAACACAAGCACGAGTTGTTGGTAAAATGACAACCATAGCTGTGTCCCAATTCAAAGGCTACATCCTTCGAAGGACTCGGACTTCAAAGGCTGCATTTGAAGGAGCCTTCGAATTGGGACAGCCTTCGTCGTACCTCGATCAGTAAGATTTAAGAAAATAATACTTTTATTCAGTAAGGATGCATTAAACTGATCAAAAGTGACCGTAAAGACATCTATAATGTAGGGGTGTAACGATCCATCGATATGTATCGATACATCGATTAAATGTCTAACGATACGATGTATCGATGCCACACGTAAAATATCGATATCTGTAGTATAAATAGGCACCTTATTTTGACCCTGTCCACATTTTCACCAATGTCCGTCTATGCATTGCTGCCAACGCGTGCATTCTCGTTCAAATCACGTGCCGGGACGATAAGACTGCCTGAAGGGCGAGCGTAAAAGACGCTCAGGATAGTTGACGGAATTGTCGAGTGCTTGTGAGAAGTTTTCAGCACGCAGTGACACACGCACACATCCAAAGAGCACGCATACAGACAGACGTATCGACAGCCCACTAATACCTAATTGAGCTCTCTTCTGCTTTTTTTGTGCATGGATGAACAAATAGACCAAATTACATCAACATGTGCGCCTTGGCGCATATCCTAGTAAACACAGTCGGTTAGGCCTATGTCTTAATGTAAAGAGTAATTTGGTTATCTGTAGAAAAGTTTTTTTTTTTAGCACTGAGCCCATAGTAGCAGCCAAAAAAAGTCTCAAATAAAGTTTTAACAGTTTTATTTTTGTATTTATTTTTCTACATCAATGTATTTTTTCCTACAAGAGTACCTCATTTGTGTTGTTTCCTAATGAGAATTTACATTATTTTACACATTGCATATTTTAGCACAGAAGCCTGAAAGACCTTTTTTTTCAATTATTTATTTTTCTTTATTATTTAAAAAAAAAAAAGTATAGGCCTATTTTTTGTTGTGAATGTCAAAATTGAGGAACAGGATGTGAAAATTGAAGATAAATTTTCATGTTATATGTTTT